ACTTAAAGTTATCTCATTATTCCCTTATATAAATTTGTAGGATGGTTGAAACACGCTCTTGTAAGATACAAGATCCAGCACAGGAGATTCTGCCAAGCCGCAACCTGGTGCAACAATATAAAATCCCTAGAAAAACGGCTATAAAATTATAAAATTCTACCTGATGAAATAATGTCACTAAACAGTTGAGTAGACATTCTAATTTTACTATCTTATCATTACTTTTTCATTATCATTACTTTATCATTAAGTCAAAGTCTGGAATTTAGACAAGATCAAATAGTTTCGTTCAAATTGGGAATAAATGGTTAGATTTGATTAAATATGCTCTAATAAAGAAATATAGTCAAATTTGTTAGTACCTATTTAGAATTGGTGTTACATAGAAATACCATTTTGATATAAACCAAAGTTTGGTATAACCAATTAAACGAAATATTTATTAAGAAAAAAAAAGGCATCTCCTTATCGAGTAACTGAAAGTTGATGATGGCTTACGCCATCTATCGGAATAAATATAAACTATTCATTGATTTTTTAAAATTATTCTAGAATTGGTTAAAAACCCATTCTTGATAAATCAAGAATGTTTATTGCTTTGTGCAGAGATGATATTGTAGTCAGTGAGGAACTTCGGAGGCGCGATGAATGGTAGTTGAAAACTTTATTTGAGTGTAAACTGTGAGCCAGTTGAGTATCGTCTGCATAATTGCTGTCACTGACAGGAAATGGTGGTGACGTGCCGCCAGGAATGCTATTTCCACCCAGGTAGACGGCGCCTCCTTGTGACGCAATATCTGCGTCAATCACATGTTTTCTTCCATGACGTCATTAGCTGGCTCGTAAAAAAAAAAAAAAAAAAAAAAACACGATGAATAAATATCTTACTTCTCACACACCAGTGTAGTACAGAATGTTCACATTAAACTGAGCAAGTAGTAAAGGAATCTGCATTCCTTCCTGGAACATTGGAATATTTGACCAAATTCTTATCCAAGATGACTAACGTGGCAATGGCACCCATTTCTATTGAAGAGCAAAACCGATATCTCCAGTCAAGAAGTAATCCTTATATTGACATCCATCTAAATTATTCCATCAGGATTGAAAAACTTTATTATTATTAACATCCTCAGGGATATCCCAAACACAGGGATATTTGCGTCAATACATTTCTTTACATCATATCAAATTGGCTATATACGAGGAGAAAGGAGAAAAAAGACAAACATACAAAAGCAATTCTCTCAAAATTTCCTTCCCTCTCTTTCCCAGTTCAAAAGATAGTTGTATATACCACCATGGTATATCTACAAAATTGATTAAAATTTTTATATGTTCTTTTCTCATCTACGAATTCATGCAGCTGTCCGATGCCACCAAATTTTCTTTCCTTTTTACAAACGGTTACAAGACGTGGGTCACCAAGATTTACAGGACATGGACTCTTGTATAAGTACTTGTATCCTTGTAATTCACTAAATAAGATGACGTAGTTTGTTTAACAAAAATATGCCAAAGCTGGTATTGTGTCTTTGTCACCGACCTCAGGGAGCTAGTTTAAAGCAACTGTCAATAGATGGTGTCTAGTTTTGACGTCTTTTTTGATGGGAGAGATAACCTTTATTTAATAGATGAATATCCTTCAGGCAAAAATTCCCTTCTAAAAATATATTTGTCAACTTGATTTCAAAACAACATAAGAGATTTAAACAAAGCTATTATCAGAAACTCAGCTTCTTCTTTCTTATCTAAACTCAATCATATTAGGATATCGAATCTTGGGATCTTGAGCAATTTGATAGCGTCTGTGCTGGGGATGAGTAGAGCTCATCAATGGATAAGCTACAGAAATCTGTAATACGGCCAATGATGTATAAGCTTAGGGATGCAGGTGAATAGTTAAACTTGGTACATAGTGGAGAAAACAGGTACTCACCAAAATTAATTTATTTTCTATTGCTCGGTAACATGAAGAGTATGTCGTATTACCTATAGGTCCCAAAGTGGGAGGTACTGCCCCCTCAGTGCACTCTGAAACCTTCTAGAGGGGGCGACAGTAAGTTAAGAAGTATTGAGAGGGGTGTTCAGTGATCAAGAATTCGGTAGCTTAGAGAAGAAATATATATATGTGGTGATTTGTGAAGCAGTCGTGGTAGTTGCATTACAAGTGTTACAAGACCGATGTCTTGTACTATGACACAAGATTTGAACAAAAGAAAAAAGTTGTTAAAGAAATATTTCCAAGATCCTGTGCTTCGATGAAAAGACAAATTTCAAAGACTATTTAAAGGATGTCCTCAGTCTTTATGAATGGAATAACAGCTTTACTGACAGAATTGTCACAGGAGAGACGAAACATGGGTTTACTCATATGGACCAGAAAGCTAAAGAATGAGCATGGAATAGCGAAGTCCTGGTTTTCCTGCAAAGAAGAATGCACAGATGAGAAAATCAAGGATCATCAATAAAAAATTATAATTCACTACGAATTTTTTCGTTTCTCAAGTCCTGATTGCTAGTTAATACTTTTACAAAGATGTTCTGGAACGGTAATTCAATAAGAAAGGAAGAAAAGTGATCTCTGACATTCCAAAGACGTTGTCTTATTCTTCGACAATGCTCGAATACATAGGTCATTCCAGTGAACAATTTTCTTAGAAAAAGAGGCAAATACAGTGATGCTACTCCCCGTCCTATTCAATATAGAGAAAGTATATGCAACTTTATAATAAAAACAATCAACCTCATTATTTCATAAGAGAAAATAGAAAAGAGGCAAACAACATGTAAAAAACCGAATTGCATACATCTGATGATAAAATTTATTTTTAAAGTTTTATGTAAGAGACATTTTTTACAGGGAGACAAAGATTTAGAAAAAGTAAGGATTAGTATTTATAGAAATATTATCCAAAATTGTGCGTGCATTGTGCTATTTAGTATAAAGCTCCGAATAACAAAACTATTTTCAAAATCATTTTTGAAAATATGTTTCTACAAATGAGTATCAGACTTGCTCATGATTTTGCGAGTATTTTTTTTTGTGCCTGGGTCATATTCATCTTCCCGGTAGCATACCAATTTTAGCATAGAGTCTTTTTTTGCATACAAGACAAGTTGCATATGCTAATTCGACAGCTTTGTAGGACAAAGGGTCGTAAATTGTTGACATATTTATAGAATCCTCACAAATAGACGGGTGACTTATTCTCAACCTACGTCCTGCCAAATGAGAGCTGCCCTAAGTCCGTAGGTGATCGGCCGAATGGTTAAAAAAGAAATTTTCTGGATGACTTGATGGGAAAACTGCCAGACTTTTGATAAATATGGCGGGTTTATTTTAGGAGCCTCGTTCGAATGAGGGGAAGTGGGTGTTGGAGTTATGTAGATATCTTACCGACTGCTTTGAACACCTCTTTGCTTTCTGGACTATTTGTAAGTCGTGTATATACAGTTAAACTTGTCTATAGTGCCCCCTCTAAATAGCGCCTCCCTCTCTATAGCGCCCGATTTTAAATACGTAGTATGATACGATTTACATTAAAAGTGACCTGTCTATAGCACTCCCTCTCTATAGCACCCTATTTTGGTGAGTCCTAAGAGGGGACGCTATAGACAGGTTTAACTATATGTGCAAATTTAAGATGAAATATAGAGGAATATAAGCTAATGGATTTATAATTGTGAAAAGGTGCATGTCCTGACCTCTCCAATTAGCATTAAAACATGGTAGAACTCGATATTTTAGAATAAATATCAACTAAAGATCGAATTTTATTACAGAGCAAT